AAGCCGGGTAAGTGAGAAGCTGGGACGTGGAAGCCGAAGAGGAAGCAGCAGCGGCAGCAGAGGGTGGAGGAGGAGGAGGCGGAGGAGGAGGAGGAGGAGAGGAAGAGGAGGAAGATGAAGGGGGGAGGAGGAGGAGGGAGGAAGAAAAAGAAGAAGAAGAAGAAGAAGAAGAAGAAGAAGAAGAAGAAGAAGAAGAAGAAGAAGAAGAAGAAGAAGAAGAAGAAGAAGAGGAGGCAGCGGCAGCAGCAGCATCCAAGACAGGATCTCTCTATGTAGCCCTGGGTATCCTGAAACTCACAGAGATCCACCTGCCTCTGCCTAGGGAGTGCTGGACTTAAAAGGTGTGTGCCACCACACCCAGCAGGTGACCAAGATCCTAACATGATCTATCCATCCTTTGAACATGGAATCTGTGCGTCCCGAGGCCCACCCCACACGAGTTCCTTGGGGTGTGTCTGAGTGTGGTTGGTGGTGTGGGCAATAAGCATCCACGACGGTGCCATGAAGGCCCCTAAACCTCTGCAATCAGACTGCCATTCAACACTGGGCATTTTCCATGCCAAGGAGACCCCAAGAGAGTGGGAGCCACTAAGCAAGGGCATCTCAGCTTAGCCCTGGGTGACTGGATGAAGGAGGAAAGAAGCAGGTGTCACACAGAGAAGACCCCACGAGGCTCTCCATAGATGCTGTGAAGGCCACCAGACCTGCTACACTGCAGGCCAACAGTGGGAGGGAGGGGCCAGCTGGGGCAGGAGGCAGAGGGCAGAGAGGAGGAGCGGGTAGCAGGTTACCTTCGCGGGAGAGCCCCTGCCACCCATAGGGGACTTTGTAGTGGCTCAGATTGTTCCAGAGCTCTTGAGTGAAGAGGCCGCTCCACAGGAGCACTGGGGTGGAGAGATCAAACAGGCCCCGGAAGTGGTGGTCCTTGTGAATGGCCAGGGAGAGCCGGTGCTGACAAAGCTGCCTCTGTGGCTGAGAAGAGGAGAGGGCTAAGCCTGTCGGGTAGGGGGCAGGGTGTGTCTCCCGGGAGCCTACGACATCACTGGAGAATTCAGATGGAGGGGCTAGCTTCCTTTACCCCTCCAGAAGGGTCATCACTGGGTCTGAGATAGCCTATGATTCAGCAGCCCGGTGGGGTCAGGGAACTTTCTGGATTTAGCCTGTCCAGCCCTTCTTCTCCAGATGTCACACATCCATGTTTCAGTGTATCTGGCTTCATACTCCTCCAACTCCCACTTGGGCAAACTTTGGGTACTTAGCAACCCTACCTCCAGGG